GGAAGCTCTGGTACCATGTTAACAGACCAGATGAAAACAGTAACGGAAATGGAAATCGGACACAGATTTACGTGGTATCCCTGGAATCCCAGGACTAATCCACGGAAGAGTTTGAACACTCTTCGGCTACTGATCTTATTTATTGTGTTTGTTAAACCTATACAGAAACACTAGTGCACTACAAATACAACCCTGAAAATCCAAACCCTAGCACACGTCTTCTCCCAATTTACAACGTGGGCTGGCATGGGTTTGCACGAGCTTTAACACTACTCACGCAACCATTGGGCCATGACACTAACACACTACACTAAATACAATTATAACCGGATTACATAATCAACATATAGCATCTCTAACTGCTAGGAGCTCTGCCAGGTAGGGGTTGACTAGTCCTTGGTGGCGCATACCGACTGCCAGCACCACATGCCCGTACGACCCACGGATAACAAGACCAGACGAGCACCCTAAGTCATGAACAACTGCATCGAAGTTGATCTTCAAAAATTCGTTTGGTGGAGGCTCCCAAGTGGCGGGAGGAGGATTTGGGAGGAGCGATCTAGTGGTAATACCATTAGTTTTGAGCCTATACGTCCCCGGTTCGAATCCCTTAAGTAGTAACTAATGACAAAAAGTATATGATGTTTAAGAATTTCAGCACGTGACTAAATATATCCCATTAATAATCTTAAAGAGAAACTATGTATTATAAATTGCTCAGATACCAATTACTATTAAATAACATGATGCTCATACAGAAAGGAAGGTCTTTCTGGTCACTCCAAGAATCCCAAGTATGTTCCTCGCTATGGAGGAAACTACTTAGAATCAGACCCTGGTTTCATTACAGGCTGCTCAGGGATGGTCAGGAAGTCACTTGGGAGGGGAGGAAGCTAGGAAAATTCACTATTAAGGCTATTTGGCACTCTAATCGGCCTACATCAAATAAAGTAGAATGGTGTGCAGCTTTGTGGGGCAAATATAACATTCCAAGATATCATTTTTTTGCTTGGATGGTGATTCACAACAGAATTAAGACTAGAGTATAGCTGAGGGAGTGGGGTGGCATTGGCTCTGATATTTGCCTCTTATGCCAAGATCACCTATTTTGCAGCTGTCCTTATATTATATGGCCTAAGTGGTCATATGCTGGTAGGGGTGTTGTGGTATTGGATTGTGGCAATTATATGGAAAGAAAGATGCGGTAGGATTTACACATCGGCAAGAAAGAGTAGCATTGAGCTGATTGTGCAGATCAAAGAGGAGGTGAACTACTATTGTCAAGGCAACGTGAAGTTTGGTTTGGTGTTAGAAAGTTACCCTGTTTACTCTGGAATTTGGAGGCAGATTCCAAGTTAGTTAGTTTTGATGTAGTGTTGTGAGTAGTGCAGAAGTAGTGAATAGTTTTTGCTGTAAAATTTGTAGCAGAGTAGAGAGTCGGTATTATTAAAGTACTACTGTTACCGATTGTATTTTTCGAGAAGCTTGTTTATCAAGCAAGAGCTAATAAAAGAGACGACAACAATTATCGGGGGAAACAAATTATGAACTAAATGATATGATACATGACCTCCAAGCTGATCTCACAAGCTAATTGATGAGCCAAACTCGAGTAGAGTTCGTGAAATCCTAAACGAGCTAAGCTTGAGTCCCATACAAGTCAAGATTTTCGTAGACAACTCTACTTCAAGATAGGTTAAATTTAGCTCGACTCCTCATTTGCAGCTCAAGATAGGTAAAAACTTAACCTCAAAAGCAAAGCTTATTAGTTATTCATAACAAAAATTAAAGGGTTGTTTGCTTAATGGATACATAGCCATTATGGATTTAGTATAAATCATTCGTTCATTTTTTTTGTCAAACCTGTGTTGCTTATGGACTTTGAGACTCCAAATTTGTGTGTAGGTGTGAGATTTGATATATGACCATAACTTTTTTTGTGACAAAAGATAATAATATAAATTGATTTGAATAATAAGCAGTTACATCCTGAAATTAAATCATGACAGAAATCAAAGAAACGACTCATAGTGGGGTACAATGAAAGAGTCTTTCTGGCCACCAAATGGGTTACTCTATTGCTACGCCGACCTACAAATCGCACACTAAGCCCATTTTGAATCGCAAAATAATGCACGACCTCCTCGAGAATGGCCCCCATCCGATTATCTTGGATCTCAGCCCGATTAATCTTCTCAATGACCATTTTGGCATCACTTTCAAACCTCGTCTCCGTAAATCCCTGGTTTAGACACCAGAGAATAGCCTCCCGGAGAACTAGTAGCTCAACAACTATCGAATCATCAATCTCCGGAAACTGCACCCCTCTAGCCAAGAGGACTAGCCACAAGATAATATAGCTTTGAGTCAAACAATTAGAGACAATTATTGTATCTCACTCTATATCTAACCTATAGCCGCAAATACATTATTTGTCTCTATACCTCATATTATTGGTCTTTGTTTCATAATATTAGTTTTAACTTATATTAAAATAATTTAAAATAATAGTTTTAGAAGCAAATACAAATATTTCATATAGTTATGTTATATGGAGACAAATCTAAAGATTGTTAGAAATAAATGCTAATGCTATCTATAGATATCTTATATAGAGACAAATATAATTCTTTTAGGGACAAATATGAATGCTCCCATTAATTTTAAAAGATATATTTTAAAAGCTACTCCAATCTCGCTTTGGAAACAAATATAAATGCTTCTATAACTATTAAGAATGACAGTTTCAGGCAATAATATATGTAGGTCATTAATTTATTTGAAAAAAAAAATCTTTCATCCCTCTGTTTTGGGTTTTCTCAGATTTTGACGAGATGCTAGCAACCCAGCGACGTTTCCTTCTCCTTCCTCATATGTCGCCATCACCGACACCACTGCATCCAGATCGTTGTTTGTACTCTTCTTCACCTTCCTGCATCGAGGTGGCGAATCTCCTCAGATATTTGCAGTAACAATCAATGTTGATCTAGTCTCCGACACCGACCACCCAGCCTTCATCGTTGGATTCCTCTTCTCGTCTTAGCAGTCGACTATGTCTCGAGAGAGGAAGAACAACGACGTGGAGGAGATGATTAGCTTAGTTAATGTAGTAGAAGCAATGTATTATTTATGTATTGGTTGTATTTATGTTTTTTCTGAGCAATTTATTCATGTATTTTAAAAATAAGTGTAATAAAAATTTATTAATAAAATTTGAATTGTTATTTTATCTTTTTAAAATTGAATGGTGTGGGCGCTCTTTATATTCCACGAAAGGAAATTGTCAAATCGAAAGTAAAATTAAAATTGAATCAAAATGATGAAAGCTGAATTAGAAGCCAAATTATTTGCTTCCAAAACAAATATTCATGTTTCGGTAAGGTATTTAGAATAGTAATAGGAACTAAAACATGTCTCTCTAAAACCAAATAAGAAGATAAAAATTAGGGATTTAAAAGTGGAATTACAATAAAAAAAAATTTGACTCACATTCCTCAATTAGAAACAAATATTATTTGCATGTATATTTGCTTCTAATAAGAATTAGAGATAGAGGTGTCCGATTCAAATAAACTATTTACTTCCAAAGGTATATAGAGACAAATAAATGGCTTTTTGAAGAAAATAACCTCTGCCTCTATAGCCATGTTTTCTTGTAGTGACTTCCCGTCTTAATTTAAAATAATCGTCCCGTCTTCGAATGAGATGCACTCTTAGTAGTCCCATCTCACATACAGACTATCAAATTCGGGTCCCAGCACCCAACGGATGTGCTGGTGGGAAGGACCATAACTTCATGCTACTATTTTACCCATATATACCCATGAAATTATTTTATTCTCAAATCGCCCTCGTCTTTTTCAGTTTTAATTATTATATATTAATCTTATGTACTACAAAATTGATTATTGACCATATACGGACTCGATGTTTATGACTCCAATTTTATTTTTGACACAATGCTCCTGAATTCCTGGATTTGAGATGTTAAATATTTAAAAGCTTGTGATGCAATATATTTCCCTGTTATGTTTAGCCTATAAAATGTTTCTGATTAATTTTGAGTTTGGAACCCTAGAATATAATCAGACTCAGAAAATTGAGAAGAAAGTTGGGACTTATACATTAATCCAAAACATAGTGGGATTAAATATTAATGCGGTCCAATTTTTAGTCTCATAAATTTTATAAATAATAAAGAAAATGACCTAATTGATGTTTGGATATGACCAAATCAGATTGAATATAATGTTTCTGTCCTTGTACTATGATTACTTTTACTATTGGACTTAGTGGAGGAGCTAGATTGAAGTTAGGATTGGCTTTAGCCCTCATAAAATTCGAAATATAGATAAATTTACATGTAAAATTCGAAACAAACTTAGAACATAAAGTAGTCGGTAAGACCTGAGGCCTCCTCTCCCAATTATCATGGTTCAAGTAAACCCTCGCTCATTCAGATTCCTAACTCCGTTAATTATTAGAGGCGTAATTCTCATGGTTGTATCAACTGAACCGTTGACACCCGCTGGACTGGATCTCATCCGGCAGCCTGATCATGCACCATTACGTGGGCTGGGCCATTTGTAGATTTTGTGAGAGGAGCCCAAGTAAGACAACGGGCTGAAGGAAGGGCATGGCCCCCAAACAACAATGAGTCATCAGCCTTCCATCTTCTTCTTCTTCTTCTTCCTTTTGTATCGAGAGATGTTTAATTTGACTCTTCAATAAAAGACTTCAACTTGAAGTGAAATCCTTCTGTTTATCTCGCCTCTAAGATTCGCCAAAAGCAACCTCAAACAATGGAGGTGAATAATTCCACAAGTTTTTCCAACGGGAAGCCTTTCTTTCAACTCCATATATAGCCGCCCACACAACCCACACCAAAAACAAAGCCAAGTTCACCTACAGCAAACCAAATTCTCATTTCTCTGCACATTTCTTTCTTCTTCCTCCATCCAAAGGGCACACTTTCTTTGCATATTGTGTGTATAACAAATATGGAATGCAAGCCAACATTCCTCCATGGCACCATTGAAGTCACCATCTTCGATGCTACACCTTACATCCCTCCATTTCTCCTCAATGTAAGCACCCATCAATCACAACGATATATTCCTCTGTTTTCTCTCTGTTTCCAAAAATGTCTATAGACTATAGTTAAATGAGTCAATTCTTGTGTTAATATTTTTTTTGCAGTGCATACCAACACATGGGAGCCCAACTTATGTGACAGTGAAAATAGACGACAACAAGGTGGCTAAAACCAGCCACGAAAGGGACCGAGTTTGGAACCAAACCTTCCAAATCCTATGTGCCCATCCCTTGGATTCAACCATCACCATCACCATGAAGACCAAGTGCTCCATCCTCGGCAAAATCCACCTCGAAGCACGCGAGATCGCTACGGAGACCAGCTTCATCAATGGCTTCTTCCCGCTCTCCAACACGACGGAGAGCGAAAAGAAGAAGAGGAAGCCAGCCGCGAGTGATCCTGAGCTGAAGCTCAGGTTTATGTTGTGGTTCAAGCCGGCTCAGCTCGAGCCGGCTTGGAGCCAGATAGTCAATAGTGGTGGCAATGGAGGGTTTCAAGGGCTTAGGAATGCATCTTTCCCTCTGAGATCAGATTGTGGGGTGAGGCTTTATCAGGATGCTCATCATTGTGGCGGTTTTCAGCCTCCGCCTGAGCTTTGTGGGCCGCCGAGGAATTTATGGGAGGATGTCTATAAGGCCATTGATGATGCCAAGTATTTGGTCTACATTGCTGGTTGGTCCTTCAACCCTAATATGGTGCTTGTAAGTCAATTCACTCTTCTTTTATCCAGTAATTTTAGATATTGAAGTGGACTGATAGGTAAATGGATGATATGAATTTGTTCTCATGATCAAGCATCGAGTCTTTAATTAACAATTGTCGAACTATGTAGCCTCATTGCCCGAGAGCTCTCCCACGATATATTTTGTGGGTTTTCTTAGTGTTTTTGTGTGTAACTCTTATAAATGATATTTTGCTACATCTTTCATACAACACATTTGTAGTATTATATTTTGCATGTCACGAAGTGCAAGCGAGCAAATTATATCTAGTATTTGTTAAAATAACACTTCAAGGGTACACAATTTCCATTTGACCATTTTTGTTTATTTGTCTGGTATTGGCTTAAGTGGATTTATGTACTGTTGTCTGTTGACATGGCAGGTTAGGGACCCTGAAACAATGTTACCACATGCTAGAGGAGTGAAGCTAGGCGAATTACTAAAAGCAAAAGCAGAGCAAGGAGTAGTCGTGAGAGTTTTAATATGGGACGACGAAACTTGCCTTCCTTTGATTAAAAACAAGGGCCTAATGGGAACACACGACCAAGACGCCTTGGCCTACTTCAAACACACAAAAGTAATATGCAAGCTCTGCCCTAGGCTACACCACAAATTCCCAACTTTCTTCACACACCACCAAAAGACCCTCACCCTCGACTCCCCGATTGCAGGAACAATCGGGGATCGAGAGGTTGTCTCCTTCGTTGGAGGCCTGGACCTCTGCGATGGAAGGTTTGATACGGAGCAACATTCGTTGTTTCGTACCCTGAACAATGAGTCGCATTGCCAGGACTTCTACCAGACTAGTATAAATGGGGCTAGTATGGTAAAGGGAGGCCCTAGAGAGCCCTGGCATGATGTCCATGCTTGTGTTTTGGGAGAGGCTGCTTGGGATGTGTTGAGGAACTTTGAGGAGCGATGGGGGAAGCAATGTGACCCTTCTTTGTTGGTTCCCACTTCCTCCTTGGCACATCTTAGAGCTCCACCAACTAATGTGAATGGCACATTAGGTATGCCATGGTTGAAACTTTATGATATTATGATTCTAAATGGCAATTTTAATACAATCTTATGATTTTACTATTGTATATTATTTATGTGGAATCTTGGTTTTAACTTTATGAACAGATTCATCAAACCCTATGAGGAACTGGAAGGTCCAAGTGTTCAGGTCAATCGACCATGTGTCAACATCCCAACTACCCCGTAACCTAAGAATCGAGCGGAGCATCCACGAGGCCTACGTGGAGGCAATAAGGCGCGCCGAAAGATTCATCTACATTGAGAATCAATACTTCATAGGAGGGTGCCACATGTGGGAACAAGATCGAGGTTGTGGGTGCAGGAACTTGATACCCATCGAGATTGCATTGAAGGTGTCTCAGAAGATCAGGGAGAGACAGAGGTTTTCGGTTTACGTTGTGATTCCGATGTGGCCGGAGGGCTGTCCCGAGGGCGAAACTGTCCACGACATTTTGCATTGGACAAGGATGACAATGAGCATGATGTATAGGATGATTGGGGAAGTTTTGCAAGAATGTGGGGAGCAAGGACATCCTAGGGACTACTTGAACTTCTTTTGTCTTGCTAACAGGGAAGTGGAGAGTGGAAAAGAGTTTGTTCCTCCTTACTCGCCTCGTCCTTCGACGCAATATTGGTTTGCTCAAAAGCATAGAAGGTTCATGGTTTATGTCCACTCCAAGCTCATGATAGGTACGAGAAATATTACATACCCATTTTCCATCCTTTTGTTTTCTACTTTAATCAAGATCCATAAAACAACTCAAACAATATTAAAAAAAAGATTGTGACAAATTTAAAACATGGATCTCATACAAAATTTTGACAGAACATATAATAATATGTTCTTGATTTGACACATTTAAAAATGTTTTTTTTATCACAATTTTACATGCTATAGAGTTCGATATATTTGTGAAACTATTATTTGATATAATTCATTTAAAACAATATCTTTTTTTTTTGTTAGAGATGATGTTGGTGTAGAAAATTATAGCAAAACTTTATAATTTCATATGGCTTAATCATTAAATACCTTAATTAAGTATTATATATATTAAGAATTACATTATTTGGTGAATCATGAGGATTCAGCAAAATCTTTTACGCATTTCTCACAAGTTGTTTATCTTTCTTTTTATTAGTCGATGATGCCTATATAAACTCGATAATTATCGAGATTCACATAGAACCTAACTTATCCAACTCTCACAAGTTGTCTCTCTCTTTCTTCTTAATAGTGGACGACGTCTACCTATTGATAGGGTCAGCGAATGTAAACCAAAGATCGATGGACGGGAGACGAGACACAGAGATTGCCATAGGATGCTACCAGCCTCAACCTCGAGTGATCGACCCTACTCCTAACGACGTTCTAAAGTATAGAATGTCGTTATGGTACGAGCACACCGGCGGGATGGCAGATGGAGACTTCTTGAACCCTGAGAGCCTCGAATGTGTGAGGAAGGTTTGCTCCATAGGAGACCAAATGTGGGAGATTTACAGTGGCGATGAAGTTGTGGACATGGGAGGAGCCCACCTGGTGAGTTACCCTGTCAATGTGACCAAAGAAGGTGGTTTGGAGGACCTAAATGGTGAGGGAGAGAACTTTTTCCCTGATACGAAGACTCCCGTGGGAGGAAGGAGGTCTAAGATGTTGCCCCCAATATCCACCACCTAAGTTGCCGTGAGTGGTGTTCACTCAAGGGATTGAGACTCATGTTGGATGTGTAAATTTGTTTGTATAAATTGGTTTACTTCCATACATGGCCTAATAACTTTTAGCATTGTAGATTAACATTTAACCAAAAGAATATAAAAGACGGGTTTCAAATAAGTTGAGGTCGAGTTATACTCAATTTGGGTTCAACTTGTTATAAATGATCGAGTTTGAGTTTAGTTTGTTTACTAAAACTTTGGGTCGTGTTTAACTCGAGGTAGACTCGAGGTTGCATAATTAATGAGCACACGAGTTGGCTCGACCTCAACTCATTTATCATTCTAAAATGTAATTGAACAAATAAACTAAAAGTAAGATGTTATATTAATCGTAAATTTTTTTTTATCCTTAGTTGATACTATGTTTATATAATCTCTTGGTGTCATATTATTTAATTCATAAGTAATGACACATTTGCTCATATATTCAAAGTATTAGACATCATATGTGGTGAGATATACAATCTAACAAATATATGAATAATTAGTAAGCCAACATTAGATATCAATCTATTCGAGTTGACTCGCTAGCAACATTATCGAGCAGACTCATGAGCTCAAAATGAACCAACTCACAAGTTTAGTTTAACAAGGCACCGAGTTAAGCCGGTACGCGAGCCTCACAATAAGAATAAGGTGTAGCTTAAACTTGACTCATTAGTAAACGAGCCATATTTCGAACGAGTTTTATCAAACCAAATGTCAAGTCACATGGTGAACATATCATGTCGTTTGAAAACCTAGAAATAGCTAGACACTGAAGTTAAGTGATGATGGCACGAGTTTGATGTAGTTATAATTCTGAGGATTGTATTCCACACGGTCTTTTGATGGTAACTACTCAAACTAACAACCTATGTTCAAACGAATCCAAAGGAAAATTAAATATGATGGGTTGAGGATCCCTATTAGATGGTTGACTTCTATATACTACCTAGACTAGTGATGGCAATTTCAACCCGCCACGCGGGTATTACCCGACCCGCAGTAGCGTGGGGCGGGGCATGTGTATCTACTTCCGACCCGCCCTACCCCGTCCCCCGTTCTAGACCCATTTTATCTCAATTTCTTATAGTATCTATACATATTTCTCTTATTTTGACTTTTCTTCAATTAGTTAGAGTTGATCTTTCAACTTGTTAGAATCAATTACCTATTCTATTATCACTATTTTTCATTCATAAGGTGTTTTTCCCTTCGTTTTATCTTAAAAAGTACAATTTGCGTGTATTTTTTTCAAATAACATGTAAGAGTGGGTCGACCCGCCCCGCCCCGTACCCGCTCGGGTTTTACCCTCCCCGCCCTGTAGTAGCATGGGGCGTGGCATGAGAATTGAGGTACCCATCTTGCCCCATTGTCATCACTAACCTAGACTAGACTCAAAATTATAAAGCAAGGAAAACATGATAAAAGAAATTGTTTAGGTTGTGTCATCTAGACAATCATGCATACATTTTCAATAATAAGATGCACCTATGCATCGATCTATTGTGATACCCTGTCCCTTCCATTAAAATCATCATATTCGAGTTTTCACCACATGCAATAGGAATTAGAACTAGCTAATGCATGCTTTTGCTTCATGCCACTAGACTAATCGACCAAGCAAGGAAGTAAGGATAGCTAATTGCTATTTAGGGCCTCTACGAGCCATATCAATGGTCTATGGTATTTGATTATTTAAGTATCAAATATCTATATCATTCATGCATAAAGGGGTGTACCGTCCCTTCATAGATACTGAAAATAGATTTTTACCACATCAGTCGGGTATATCGTGCAACATATATGGTGATAATATAAACAAAGACCATAGTAACATACAATTAGGGATGTTAATTAACCAATCCGCTCATGAACGGCTCGGTGTGAGACTCGAGAAAAACTCGTTTGACACTCGATTCGTTTTAATCGAGCCAGCTCGCGAACAAGCTCGTTAACTAAACGAGTCGAACACGAGCCAGACCATGTTCAGCTCGAAAGCTCGCGAACAAGCTCATTTAATGGTTTGGCATAAAAAAAGAATTAGAATTCATGGATTTTATGTATTGAAATTGGGATAAATATTGTGTTTTACTTTGCTACAGGTGTGAATGTAATTTTGTGCGCAGTTCTAGGTCAATCTTGAACTATCATGAACATTTTATGAGCCGAACTCGATTTTTGGTCTTGTTAAGCTTACTTGACGAGCCGAGCTCGAGCTTTCATTTTGGTAAACGAGCCAAGCTTGAGCTTGCATATTAAGGCTCGTGACGAGCTCGAGCCGAGCTCGAGCCTGGAAATATATTAACGAGCCGAGCCCGAACTATGACAAAACTCGACTCGACTCGGCTCATTAATAGCCCTAGATGATTAAAGCATTATATAAGTAAAACACAAGATGATACAAGCATTGATTGAAAGAGGCATCTAAGATGCATAAAACATCAAAGAATTAAAATCCCTAAACAATGATGAATCAGCACACCTTAAGAGACAAGGTACACATCACCATAGATGATGAAGGCATCATGTTCAAATTCTAGCAGAACTTTGCCTCCTCCTGTAAATTGATAACTTGTCCCCTCTAGGGCAAAGTGGGAGTGTAATAGTTTTCTAGAGCTAGAGTTAAGCTCCTATTTATAGTACAACAAGGAAGGGAATTTTCTAGGATTTTCATGAAGTCGGCCAAAAGCATCATTGGACGAGTGGGACTCAGATTTCTCTACTTGGGGCCGATGATATGATCCCAAATGGTCCATTATACACGTTTAATTTACTTGACGAAGAAGCTAACGAAGTTGGGAAAAAGAAGGGCAGAATTTGGCTAAGTCAAAATTCGTGTTCAAGGTACATACTTTGGAAGCATGGTCTCTCAATTGGCTTGGTGGAAATTCAAGTATAAGGGTTTGTTTTGCATATAAAGTTTCCATCTTTCCAATGGTATGCTTTGTGGATCCAGATGATGTCATTAAGGTTGTTTTCCAAGGCCTCAAAGTTGCTACCTCAAAACTGGAAAACTGTCAGAATTTGGTTAAGGCAGAAACTGTGTTCAAGAAGCCTACTTTGGAGATCCATTCCAGAAGCATCGATGAGATTCGAGTCCAGAGGCTTATACCACATGAAATTAGGTATGTTCTACTACAAATACAAGGCATTGGATGATTGGAAGCTTACCTGGAAGGCTTTGATCGAGAGGCTCAAAGATGGCATCAAAGCTGTTTGGTTACTTGGAGCTAAAGGCAGATTTTCTTGTTTAGTTAGGATTTCATTGTTTTGGTAGTTTTTTATTCCTTTTCATATTAGACTGTAATTAGGAGTTTATGGGATGTGTGTAACCCTAGCTAGGCCTATTTAAGCTTTCTATTTCGTTGTAAAACATAGAATTTGATGAATTGAAATTGAACCTTTGGGTTTTTGCAAGTTTGCGTACTTGTGTGAGCTTTGTTGGACTCCAAGCTCGTTGAGCTCTTGTATCGATTAAGAACGCGTTGATCGTGGCCGAGCATCTACCTTTATATCATTCGAGCCTTCTTCCACGTGAAAGATTGCACGTTTGATTCTGTTTTATCCAAACACCCAAGAACATCCTTGTTTTTTTTGTTCGAATTTCGTTTTAATCAATCCAATCCTTGGATTGATTGTGTTGCTGCGTACTTTGGTAAAAGTTCAACCCCCCAGGGTTGCATTAGCCGAAGTAAGCATCTTCTAGAAGCTTCCCTGGGCTTGGGCCTAGCGGCAGTGATTTGGTGGTCGGGGTCGTCGTGGATTTTCTTTGTGGGCTAGGTTGCTTGTGTGCCAAGTAACCTCTCCTCCAAAATTCAGTGAGACTTCATGGATTATGACCCGCTTTGACCTTCGTCAATGGTAAGTCTGTTGCACTACCGAGTCTGCTTCTATGGGCCATAAAGTGCGAATCTGATGTCAACCCATCTATGTTTGAGCCAATGACCTTGTAATATCGTCCTCCTTCTAGTCTATTGATGATCCATATTCATCTTGAGAGTATTCTATTCTTCAAAAGCAAAAAATAACACTAAAAGGCGTAAATCAGTACAAAAACACACTTAATGTCTATCTTCGGCACATTGATCAAATGGTTAAGATATTTATATGAATCAGGTAAAAAAAATATTAAATATGCATTGATGGAAGGGAAAATATATCATATATGGTAGTGATAAACACTATAAATTGAATGTCATCGGAAGCCATGAATTATGATGATTTCTACTTATCTAGCTTGAGATCTAGGGTAGGGTCTAGTTATGCAATTGTGAATAACTACATTTGAACACTTTATTTTTAGTAGGATTGTTGTTTGAATTTATATCTACGTACTTTTTAATTGATTTATATCTTTTTTGTTTTAAGTCGGATTTTGATTTTCTTTTGTACAGATGGAACAAGTTCATTGTGGTGTACACAGTTATATTCATTTTTAAATACATTTCGAGTGAAAATATTTGTACCATCCAGTCTTTACCACCCTAGTACTACCTTCTTTTTAACTCAAATTTTAAAAATATTTACACAGAAGGAACACGTTCATGGTGATTTACAAATTTGTGAAAAATCATTTCAGGACCAAATATATCACCCTAATATAGTGTGGTAAATGGTGGTAAACGATGGTCAAATGTGGTAGACGGTAGTTAGTATATTCCTACTATAATATGTACCGTCATTCTATACTATACATAATAAGCAAGAATATAGTGTACACTCATTAATCTGTTAAAGATCTTTAAACTAGAATTAATATATACAATCATTAAACGGTTAAAGATCTTCAATGAACAAATATTTTATAAGCAAGAATATATATTTTCAATACACATAATGACACAAGTACAAATAGAATTCATCACTCTTAAACAAACATACATGAATGCTAAAGTTCTAAAGTTCAAACTCTAATTATTAATTCAAATTTATTCCTACCAAATTGTTATATAACTAGGCAAGTAAAAGCCTATTATCTTATGAAAATGGAAATTAATATAAGTGAAGTTTTGGAAATAAAAATTATGTAA